TGTCGATAAAATCACTTTTTAAGCTGATTAAAATTTTTCACCGCTTCAAACGGAACATTTTAAAGTGAAATAATGGTTTAACGTTGACAAGCGGACTTAACGATACTTGTATTTACAATTCATTATCAATATGAAAACCCATCTGTTAAACACATTTCCATAACGCCCATTTTTAAGGGATTTACTTAAATTTGCATCAACTATTTATGAATGTGTTTGCAAGTCCATAAATGTGAGCCCACAAGGTGCTGACAGTGACAGTTCGGGACAGGTCAAAAGAGACGACTGTGGCAGTCTGTCATTCCGGCTGCTGACAGTTCCTTTTGCCGGCATAGTTCACAGCTCACGGCATGTGACGCATTTGCCACTGCGCTTCATTATGCAGGTCTTCCGCTCCCATCTCCCCATCTCCCTATCTCCCGGAATCCCCGACTTGCCGAATACCACCTATCCTTCCTTCCTGCACAACGCCACATGCCAGACATTCTACATCTCGTCCTTCAGCACCAGTGATGCAAATCTCATAGCTATTTTACTAAATTACATAAATACAGGTACTTATGTTACACGTATATTTGTACAAAATTACATCCCAATCATTTGAAAGTATAAAACACGTATACCCAGCCTTTTTTTTTTAAAATTCGGAAAAATACAAACTAAGATTAAATAAAGATTTTTAGAGCATAAAGCCACAATTATTTTGAGATATGCCACTTTGGAATCGGAGATCTGTAAGAAAAGTTATGGGCTTAAAAGTGCAGGTTTTTGGTCACTTTTCTGCAAAGCCATTTTTCGAAAATTTGGAAAGGGGTTAGCTCATAAAAATGACGAAAAATCGACCCAAAAATAAAAAACAAGATGATTATACAGATTTTTGGAGGATTAAATCACAATCATTTAGAGATATGCCACTGCAAAATCGGATGTCTCTAAGTAATTTTATGAGCTTTGAAGTGCATTTATCAGGAACTTTCCTTTCTGAATAATAAGGTAAAGGTACTCCTTTTTTAAGTTTAATAAAATAGAAAGAAATATATAATTTATTTGAATTTGGGAAGTTCTTTAATGACTTCGTTGCTTTATTATTTTCTGAATAAAAATCTTTAATTGTACCTCTATGTAAGGATACCAGATAGTACCCAGTACACCACTGTTTACCACCTCGCACCACGTATGGATCCTGTTTGCAGGCACTGTTGTGGGTGGCAACAACTGCGGTCGGGTCGCTGGAATGCGATGCCGCATTATAAAATAATGCATGGGCGTGTGGGCTGCGGCCCCGTTGACCTCATCGCATGGCTGTGTCAAAATTGTTCGACAAGCTCGTGTACTTGAACTGTCAACCTGTGTGGGTGGGTGGGAGTGTGGGTGGTGGGGTCCCGACATGCTGTTGTTCTCGTGTTTACGTGCTCTTGTTATTCTTGTTTTCGGCGGGCAGGATTAACTATCGAGCGGTTTTGCGCACTTTTGCATATTTATAATTGCGAGTCACGTTTAGGGGCCAAGTTTGTTTCGGTTTAAACGGCTCTGTGAACTTGAAACAATTTTTGAATGTTTAAAATATTTTTGGAGCCTATGGCTGCCGGTGAGGTGGAAAAAGATAGATAAACTTCAAACTTAAAGACCTTTTTTATGGAAAGAGATGACAAAAACATTTACTTTAAATCTTAAATTACATTAAAGAAATAACTGAGCTAAATGATTTAAATTAAATATTGTTACTTTGTTATCCAAAAGTTTGTTTCTTTTCTGCTAATGATTATTTATTGCTTATGTTTAGCTAAGATATATTTATAAAACATTAGGCCTTCAAGGGTAATACGTGGTATTCTATTTTAGAAGCATTAAAGTTTCACAGAAAACTAATGCTGCTCAGTGCTTTCCGAAAACTAAATCTATTTCCAGAGTTTCTTCGCTATCTAAAGCTAAATAAACAAAACTATAGTTCAATGTATTTGGCAGTGGAGCCAATTAACCCGAAATTAATGGATAAACAAAGTAATAGGCAACCTGCTCATCGGAATTGAGAAACGAAATAAATTAATTGCAGTCGCCAGCGGCATCGCCGCAGGTGGGCGGTACTATTAGTGGGTTGGGTGGCGTTTGGGTGGCGTTTGGGTGGTGCTTGGGTGGTGCTCGGGTGGTGCTTGGTGGTTTGCAGGGGGCGTAGGCATAACAGGCGCCATGCTGCAGTTTCGGTCGACGAGCCGAAACAACAGATGGAAATAGAACTTTAATTAAAAGCCGAGAGAGCCAGCGGCAACGACAGAAACAGCGCTGCGAGGGGGAAATAAAATAAGCCAACATTCTAATAAGGAAAATAGTTGCTCTCACGCATACAGGCGCCTACTAATACTCAAGCACTGAAAAAAGTAAGAAAATTATTAAGTTGAAAACAATTAATTTTGGAGTTTATTTTAAAATATATTTAATTTTTACTTATATCTTATATATCTTATATTTAGATTAAGTCAACAAATGAAATGAAACTAATGTATAATGTTTTTTAAAACTAGGCTTAATGATAAAACTACTCAGAGAAAATTGAGCTTTAAAAATATACATTTTATTTGCAAAAGCGTTTTGCAGTTGGCCTTATTTCTGGGGGATGGCTCTGAGAGGCCATATTCCGCGCTTTAAGCCGCATTCAGATGCGATGATACATATGTCAGCCGGCGACTAAGCACGCTCCAGATGCCTCGAAGGTGGTTTTAGGCCTGTTGTCGCAGTTCGCTCGCTTCGGGACTTGGCTGCCTATGCATTGCAACTGCCTTAAAGCCGCCTTCTGAACCCGGCTAAAACTAATCGCGGAGAGCTCTGAAACGGGCTGGTTGGCAAGCATAAAAGCCAGCGACAGGTGAAAGGACGCCTCGAGTGGCTGCCACTCAAGACTTTTACCCAACAGGGCTTTAAGATCTGGCCGCGCATTCATCGAATTCGAAATACTACAGTTTCAGGGCCTCGGCGCATACAATTTAATTAGTCTAGTAAGACTTCCTCGTTCTCTCATTATATTAGGGAAAATAATTAATGAATTCATCTGGCCTAAGTGCAGTCCCATTATACTTCAAGCCAGCGAGGATAACTATGACGAGATGGGGACGATGAGGACGTCGCCGAGTCTGTTGACTCTTGACGTTGATGAGTCGCAAGAACAACAAAAAGTTTTCTGGCGGTTGGGAAATATGGCACGGCACATATGCCAACCGAGCGGGAGTACTATGATTACATAGCTGATGAAATATGCATTATCCGCTGGTTTTGGTACAAAAGTTTTGGGTGAAAATAAAAGTTGAGAGCCGTCTGAAATCCCCCAGAAACTCTGTATTTGTCCTACTAAATGAGGAAAACTTTCAAGGAAATTCAGTTAAGGCTGCAATCACAACTGACTCTTTTTTTCAGGATACAAAATTATGCAGGGAAAATATATTTGTATAACCAAAGTTTTTTCATGCTTAACTCTTTAACATGGCCTAGTTAATTTGATTCTTACCATTAATAAAAAAAATTGTATTATTATTATTTTTTAAAAATAAAATGTTACTTGTTTTATTTCAAATTTTATTTAGTAAAGATTTGTATTTTGAATATTCATTGGGTAGACCTCATATGTTGTAGCACTGTTAGCGAAAAATGAACAATACCACATTCTTTTGAGATCTACAAATTTCTAAAGAAAAATATTATTTTCCAAAGCTATTCATAATCTTTAGTCATCGCGGATTTAGCTTAAGTGATTCTATAATTTGCTTTTCTTCTTTTTACGTATCTATATGTGCCCTATCGTCATAAATCTAAATGAAAACGTTTAGGAAGCGAAATCTCCAACGCCTACAGCGAGATTATTACCCTGACAGAAGAAATATAGCATTGCGGTGATATAGATATGCGACCAGGCCTAAAATTAAATTCACCTCAATGCGCCAATTTTGACTCACTGTGTGGTTTGTTATTCTCTTTTAGGGGAACACGAGGAGAATTACCTTAGTGAACCGCAGAAATTTGCTGCAAACGTGTCCATCAGAGTGTGCAAGTCACCTCCACATATGGCCCCGGAATTCCGGCACATACCCCCCCTCCCCAATCAATTGCACATTGTGCACGTAGCCACAGCAGAAACTATGTGCGTGTTTTGGTTGAATTTTGGCAGGAGGAAAAAGGGAAAGGTCGGAGTTGGGTTTTTAGGGGCGTGCGAAATCGAAACCATTGAAACCGAAAGCGCTGAATGAAAACTTTTGTGGCCCAGCCTTGGGATCGAATTGAATTTTCGGTGGCATGCCACCAGGCCACAAACTTTTGCGACCCATGTGGCCGTGTAACTGACCCACATCAACCAAGTGGGAAAATTCGGGGAAAGAGAACCGACAAAAAAAAAATCAGAGAATGTCTGCCAAAGATTTTTCATAGCGTGTTCGGGGAAAAAAAAGTGTAGGGAAAAAAAGTTTGGACGTTAAAGCAACTGGGCACACTTCATAATTGTATGCGAGTTCTCAACAAAATTGTGGCTGCGAGGCCAGCAAAAGTTTCAAGGTGCAAGTGCCAACGGGGCGGATACGTCATAAATGTGGCCTGCCTTTTGCGAGTGGCTGTGGATTGGACGTGAAGCATCTGCTGAAAACAAAATACACCTAAATTGAATGGCGGGAAAATCGATTTAAGTTGCACTCTGTTCATTAAGCCATATCCTGTTAATGAATTGAAAATGGAATTCAAATTGGAGAGGAATGCTACACGCATGTTTCGTGTGGCTGGTGTTTTTAATTTTCATGAAACCTGCTGATTTAGTTTGTTTAGTAAATCTGTTTTTAATTAAATATTAAAACCGTTAAAAGTAATCGTACAGCGTATGCAAAACATTAAATTTCACTTTAAATTAAATCTTTTTTTTGTAATACTAATGAGGCTTTTATGATAATATTATTAAGCCTTTGCGTTGAAAATTTTCGAATTTTGTTAGCACAACAAAATCTTTTTAGCTATCTTGAAAGTATGATATGTTTGCTTTTATAATGCACTTAGTTTATTTGATTAAGATCCCATTGCCCTATGATAAACACCACAATAAAGATACCCTAGCCCTTCAAATTTGAGCTCTACAGCAACAATCGGTTATTTAAAGTCAAACAAGATACTGTATCCGAGCATCTAGCCTGAGTTTGGGTGGTGCAAAGGCGGGAGGTACTGTCAAAGTAAGTATTTCCGGGACAAGTGTATACGTTGCCATAGAATATGCCAGCAGAAGTAAAACAGTTCACATATCTGGAAAAATATTTAATTTAATGAATGATGATATAGGTAAAATAAAGCGCAGTAATTGTACTCACTGTTTGCAGGTAGTTGAGGTAACTCTGCCATAGGGAAATCTTCCGTTTGTTTTAATGGATCGACAATATTCGTTGGCATCTGAGATGGCCGTCGAATCGCAGTTTTGAGGATTGTCTCCAGTGCAGGTTACTGCGAACAAGGTGGGACTGCCGCAGATATTGGGGTTTTCCACGTTGCACACCAAATTCGAGCCGCAACTTCCATTAATCGATGCACTGGGTGTACTTAATCCTAGACACAGGGAGAACGTGTGGCGACCGGTGCAGGCAAACCGATTATCCGAGCTGCACCTATTGCATCCTGTACAAGTTTCGGAGCCTGCCACGGAACTGCAAATAGGTGAACTGGCTGTGCAATAGTAGTCCGTGGGGCAGCTGTACAGGCCTCCAATGGCCACGCCCAACGTGGAGCAGAACTGGAACTCGGTCTCCGATACGCAGGACACGCCAGTGGTCATGTCGCACGTATTGCAGGCTGCTTGGCAGCCCAGGATACGGATACCCACTCCCAGAAAGATCAGTAGACGTAGCATCTTTAAGTGGAACTGCGGAAAGCGAAACCCTGCAACCGAATTTATCCAGTCAGGCTTATCTAATCCAAGTGCACTACTATCTTTTTGCTAATCTTGGCGAGTATCTATTCTATTTTTCTTGACTGCACTTCCTTCACGTGATAAAAAAAAGGTTAACAAAATCAAGTAGTTATTCAATCCAAGTAAGGTCTTGCTTTTGGTAAAAACTTATAACATTTTATTGCTTAAAAACAAAGAAAAACAGACTTTGATACTATAACAATTTTATGCTTTGCATATAATTTCATGTGAATTCCTTTGTTTGTGCTTTTCGGTTTAGATAGCTAGGTACTTCACTTTACAGCAGCAATCAATCGTTAAGGGACAAATATGAGTTAGTACCCGTTTGGGTGGCGCAAGTGTTGGAGTTGCTGTCGAAGTAAGTGGATCCGGGACAGGAGTATACTTTTCCATAAAACAATCCACCAGAGATAAAACAGTATATATACCTGAGAATAAAAGACAGGGAACAATTGCAAACAAAGGAGTATATTCCACTGTATTTAATTTAAATAAACAAAAACGGTATTTATGGTTTATAAACTTATTTAAATAATAGTTTTACTTACTGCTTGATAGAGATATTTGTATCATCCCCGTATGGAAATCGTCCAAGCCATCTTATAGATCGACAATATTCCGTGACATTATCCTCGGATCCTGTACAACTGGCTAAGGTTGCATTGGTGCTGCAAACAGGAGAATTCCCTGTGCAGTAGTATCCTTTGGGACAGGAGTAAAGTTTTCCTTTGGGCACGAAGTTAGCTGAGCAGAACTGGAATTCGGTTGGCGATGCACAAGACTTTTTATGGGTCGAACATGAATTGCAGGCTGCCTGGCAGCCAAGTACTCCGATTCCCAGAAAGATCAGTAAGCGCAGCATTTTTGAATGACACTGAGTTAACTGGATCCCTACCATCAAACTTATCAGCTCTGGTTTATCTTATCAGTGCAGTTTCTACTTTATTCTGTTTTCCCATCGTTTAAAAAGGGCTTATTTAGGGAAAATTTAAATAAATAGAAGGTACATTTTGTGTTATGTGTATTTTTGTGTATTAATTGTCACACCATCTCTAGATTCCTGAGGCCCAAAGTGACGACTCCAAGAGTACATCTTGCCGGCACTGCGGTTTCACAATACTGCGTTGAGCTGTCGAAGTAAGTTTGACCAGGACAGGTGTAGAGACCTCCCCTCCAGTTAGTTGCATTCAGGAAACAATATATGTACCTAAACATTAATTATTTACTAAATAATTTAAATAGATTAGCTCATTTAAAATACTTACTGCTTGCAGGTGGTATTGAGACTAATGCCATAGGGAAATCTTCCATGCTGCTGGACGATGGAACAGTAGGCGGTGGGGGTCAATCCTGTGGTAACTACTCCAGTTTCAGTATCGTCACTGGGACAAGTGGCCTGGGATCCTGCCGAGGGACTGCCACAAATATCCGGATTATTATAATCACAGACCAAATTCACGCCACAGCTGCCCAGGATCAGGGAAGGAGTGGTTGTGCCCAGGCACAAGGAAAAGGTCCTTTCGGTGAGGCAGGCGAAGGTGTTATTTACATTGCAGGAACCACAGCCAATACAGGATCTTAAGCCAATATCTGTGTTACATATTGCGTCATTCGCCGTGCAATAATATCCCGTGGGACACGTGTAAACTGGGCCGAAAGGCAATGTGGCTGAGCAAAACCGGAACGAAGTATTCGATATGCAGGCAACGTTGCTACTACTGGAACACACATTGCAATCCGCCTCGGTTCCAAGTATATAAATTCCCAGCAAAACTCCGATTCCCAGCAAGATCAGAAAGCGCAGCATCTTTAACAGAAACTAGCAATATTGGTGTCAAGCAGGTGGCTTTATGCCCTAGGAGTTATCTTATCACTCGGGAAAACTAGAACTTCCAACACGGAGTTATAATTGCAAGGGGATTAAGAGCTTGTCGGTGAATTTGGGTCAACTTATCAAAGAAACTGAATTAAAGACATGCCATTCAGAAATCTAGTGATGAGTCTTTAATTTTAGTAAGAGTACATGTTTTTCAATTTATTATTTATATTATTTATATATTCCATATCAGCAAAGCAAAAAAGTTTGACACGATCGTTCCTTTAACAGCTATATGAAACTTGCCAAAGCTTGAAGTCTTTAGCTTTTAACCTGATGCCGATCAAGAATATGAATACTTTAAAGGGTGTCTTCTTGTTTACTTGATTGCGTTGCAAAATTCCGACGAAAATTATAATACCCTCCCCAAGGCAATAAAAAGCACTGCACTTTTGTAATCAAACTGACTATTTGCCTTTTGTGCATCGCGTGCTTTCCTCTACTGGTTATCTTTTTACTACTTGTCCCACATTTATCATGTGTTTTTAAATGATTAGGCACCAATTAACAATACTGATATGAAACGATTTTATGCTCTTTCCAAGGCTTTTATTAAAAGATTGTATATGTATTTTTCCAACAAATTTTTATACACAATTCGAAGGTTTTGTAGTGACGCAATTGAAAGTAATGCTACTAAAATAGGGTTTAGCTAAAGGACACTGCCAGGTATTTCCAGTCCATGTAGAACCCTTACGGAAGCAATAGATATATCTGAAAAATATTTTTTGAAATTAGAAACTGAAAAGTCAGTTCAACAACTCACCTGAGGCAGCTTGAATCACTGGGATCTGGATAGCGACCCATTGAGGACTTAGTGTTGCAAAAGTCTCCAATTACAGTGGTACTATTGTAATACGGACACGTGGCGCCTGTACCATTTAAAGGGGGTGCACAGTAGTTCCTGTTGTTGATATTACACACCTGCCCCAATGAACACGAGTACTCGATGTTTACGACACTCACACCGTCACAAAGTGCAAAAGTGCTGGGACTTGTACAGGTGAAATTTTGAGTTCCATCACACTTATTGCAGTCATTGCAGGAGAATAGAGTCTCATTTGAAGTGCACCGCTCCACAGATCCAGTGCAGTTTGTCTTGTTTGGACAAGTGTAGATTGGCCCCGTGGGAATATTGTCCAACGTGCAGTTTTGGTACTGATTTCTGGATACACAGGCGGTTTTGCTGTCCACCGAGCAGGCATTGCACTCGCCGTGGCTAAATCCCACTAGGATGGCCAACAGAATTCCCAAACACAGCAGCTCGCGAAGCATCTTCCAAAAGCAACTGGAACTAACTCCCAACTGCAGCCAGATATAAGTATCAGTCTTATCCAGAAAGCGACTTAAGATTAAGTTGTTTGTACATAAAACTAAGTAGATGCATGTATTTTTCATTGCCTTTTAAACAAAATTATATGTACTCTTTTAAGTTATTTATATCGCGTATTAATAAAAATTATAAATATTATTTTAAGTGAAAGTAAAAGTGATTGGAGTAACATATGTATTCCAGTTTAAGCCGTTGTAAAACCTCTCAAAAATATTTGTGTCTATAAAGTTAAATCTAAAAATTGTTCTATTAAAAACCGATCTTTTTTGAAAATTAAAATAATTATTGAGTGCCATATAGAAATAATTTAAAATAAAACTAATGTAAATACCGATACTCAATCACTTTTTCCCTGCACACTATGTACATTTCCGCCGAAAAGTATGCTAAGTTTTTCAACCCGATCGAAGCGACGGGATCTTATCTAAATTGGAGCAACATCCAAGGTCCCGCCACCCGAGGTCTTTACGGATTAAGAGCCATCTGCATGAAAATAGCTACCAAAACAGAACAACGCTCTATTTAAGCCACCTGACTGCTGGCCACAGTCATCAGTTGAAAAACAATTGCAGCCCGAAATGTCGCCTAACCGCATTGGCTTGCCACTTAGCCTCGTGCTCCTCGTCGCCTGTCTGGTGTCCTCGACCCGCGGCACCTGCAACGTCTGCAACGCTGTCAACAACCTGACCTGCTACTCCTCGACCCAGATGCAGGCCTGCCAGGTGGGCGTCCTCTCCACGGCCACGCCCACCGCCTGCCCCAGCGGCTATGTCTGCGCCAGTGGATCGAGCGGGGTGCTCTGCCAGCCGCAGGATGCATCCGGCGGAGGACAGGCAGACTGCCAGGAGTGCAACAAGTGCGATGCGAGCCAAACGTTTGCCTGCACCGGATCCCAGAGCTTCGCCCTCTGCCTGGGCACAGATACCGTCCAGGATTCGGTGGGCACCTGTGCCTCCGGCTATGTGTGCAACATCAACGACACCCAGATATGCGGTCTGCCAGCCAATGGGGTAAGTTTGCCGTCCTTCAAGTTATGGTCTAGTTTCCTCTTCGGAGGAAATGTGATGTCTGAAACGGAGCAGGTGCTTGAGGAAGTGGGAAAGGAAATTAAACAATCAAGAAACTCTATTCAGTTAGGATTCATAACCACAGAAAACACTTTGTGCTCTGTGTATACTATTTTCTTAAAGGGAAGGTGTAAATAATTGAATAAGATGAATCTAAGCTGGTAAAGGAGTTCATTAAATTTATTCTGATCATGTTTAAATAAATAAACTATTTAAAACGGCTAGTATTTCCAAAATTAAATTAAAAGTACATTAAGGGGCAAAGTTGTTGATAAATCAGGTTCTTAAATATTTACCCAACTTAAAATAGTCATGGCAAAACCATTGGCTTTCATACCCGAAAATAGGATAATAATCTTTTAAGTTGAAATCAGAAATATTAGATCCAATTTAATTTAAGCTGCAGAGACTTTTGGTTCCAGTTTTAAAAGCTAACAATTTTTGTTTTGTAAGTGCTTTATTAAAAACACTTATTCAAAGGAAGCTAAGTAAAAGCCTGTCAATTCAGTGACAGAATAAAATATGTGTCTCTGCCACCAGATAAATAATAAATATGCATATCCAACCAGGTGATGCCGACCTGTTCTTACACCGATGACACAACCACCAGCACGACAAGCAGCACCACTAGTACCACAACGACTCCGGGGACACCTTCCACCAGTTCCGCATCCGCGTACTGTGCGGCGGTTCAGTCGCAGGGGAAATATGCGGTCGGCTATAACGCGTATACGACCTGTCGGCAGTACATCTACTGCACCCTGGTCAGCGGTAGTTGGATTGGAGAGACATACACCTGTCCGGGCACCCTGTTCTTTGATAGCGCCTCCGGGATGTGTGAGTCCGACATGCCGTCCACCTGTTCCACCACTGCCACCACCCCATCCACGACGACGGCTGCACCCACGACCAGTAATCCCGGAGCATATTGCCGGGCCATGCAATCGGCGGGCTACTATCCCGTGGGCACGGATGCCAGCACCACCTGTCGTCGCTACATCGACTGCTTTCTGTTGAACGGAAGCTGGAACGGCAATATGTACCAGTGCCCCGGCAGCATGTACTACAACAGTGCCAGCAAGATGTGCGACACCACTTTACCAGCCACATGCTCCACCACAGTGGCAAGTTTGAGCCTAAACGGAGTGGATTTAGATTAAAAGAGCGTTCGCTAAGCGAAGAGTATTTGAAGGTTTATTGGGTGGGTGTGTTTAACCCTTCAGACAGTAGCCTGGATTAACGTCCACGCAACTCTGAGTCACGTTAAGAAAGTATGAACTCGACGGGCAGTTATATTCCGCAGATCTGATAAGAATGTTTTTGTTAAAGTAGCAACTAATGTAGCTGTAAAGATAAGTGGTTAAATAATATGAATGATGTGGAAAATTTTACGCATTAATAAACACGCACCGTTGACAATAGGGATCCGCGGGTGTGATGGGAAAAAGTCCAGTGGCGTTTCTCTGAGTGCACATCTGTGCGGGCGTTAGAGGGATCACTGTAGTGGTGTACACTACAGTGGTGTCGGTGCTGGTTTCAGTGCTGGTTTCAGTGGTTGTGACCACTGTAGTGCTGCTACTTTCAGTGGTCACGGGAGATGCAGTGGTGGTGTCCACCAGTTCGTCATTTATGTCGCAAGTCAGTGTTTGACCCTTGACCTCGGTCACACAGATCGCAGAGCTGGTGGCATCGCATACCATTCCCGATGGACAGTAGCCGAACTGACCAGCGGGCCTTGTGGCGCCATAGCACATCTGAAAGATTCCACGACTCTGGCAGGCGAACAAATAATTGTTACTGGCACTACACTGGCCACATTGCGAGGTATCACCACAACTCGGAGGACGTTGGCTGCTTTTTTGGACACAAATCGCCGTGAGATTGGTGCAGTCGAAGCCTTCTAGGCAATGGTACAACTGGTCACGATGTGGGGTTCCATCTGAAAAGCCATTCAAATAGTTAGTATTTACATTCTCCAAAGGTTTTTCATTTTACTCACCTCCAAAACACAAATAAAAGGAGGTGGAGTTGATGCAGGCCACTTTATTTGATTGACAGACATTACAATCGGACACAGTTTGAATTACCATAAATGCAAGAAAAACCTGGGAGGAATTTGTAATTACTTTGGTTTAATTTTCCTGACTGAAATTCAGAAAACACTATTACCACCACAAGTCCTTTGACTAAATGTTCAATCCTTTGGGACATTTTTGGGTTTTCCGAACTGCTTCTGCTCACTGTCAAGGTTCTGATGGTACTAAAAGTTTAGCTTACGATAGATAAATGTGTGGTCTACTACGTCTAGTCTCCAATGTTTATCTACTCTTTACTTTTCTCTGCTAATTGTTTTATTTGGCTTGGCTTTCCACATGATTGCTGTTTTATGGGGTCTTATGACGAGAATGTTTCTAATGGCGATGATTGGTATGTGGGTGCGGACATTGAGCTAAAGTCGAAAAACTCTTTGATTCCCAGGCTTCGCTTGCGCAAAGAAAGTTCTTACTAATTAGTTAATATTATTTGTATTGCGATTTGTTATTAAGACATTCACTAACCAAAGATACTTGGCATATAAATATTTGCACTTAGGTTATTGACCGCTTTAAATCTATCTTTAATCATTTGTTTATGCACTGATGCTATCTCCAAAGAATAAAGAACTATGTAATGCATTACAGTTTGAGGTCATTTAGTGCATTTACCAGATACTCTTTAATTATGGTCATATATTCAGAAGTAAAACCCGTAAAAGCAGCTGTAATTATTTGCACATTGCGGTTATTTAAAAAAGCGCATGACAATTATAGCAGTTAGTCCGTTTGAAAAATTCAGAGTGTGCAAAATGCAGTATTTTAAGTTCCTGAAAACTTTGGTAACTAACTATCCAGGTCCTTAGAAATCCTTTTTTCATCAAAACATATTCCAAAGTGCTTCATTGCGGTTGCTTCTTCAATGGTAGTTGTCGTTTTCGGTGACATAACTTGCAATGTGTGCCAAAGTAATCATGCAAAGTGTGTGAATGAGACCCACTTCAGTTTGTGCCTGGACGGAGTTCCACCGGACCAGGTGATGCCGTGTCCCGATGACCAGATCTGCACCAGCACGGCCAAGTTCTGTATGCCCAGGGGATCGGTGGCACCTTCCTGCATCTCGGATGCCGACGTAGAGTGCCCCTCGTGCGATGGATCCTCCCTGTTCGTCTGTACCAGCCGCACCACCTTTCAAATGTGCAATGGAGATACACTTTCCAGCCAGATCACAAAGTGCAAGGATAACACTTACTGTGCGATAAGTCAGAGTAACTTCTGTGTGGACCGATGCGAGGCACTAAGTTCAGCGACCGGTTTTCAGTGCGATAGAGAGGCACCTTTAACTGGATAAGTATTAAATCCATCTTTAAACTATCAATTAATCCATTAAAGGGAAAGATAAGTTGGAACTCAAAGAACATGTTCATTCTTATTGTAAAACTATACAAGATCCCTGTAGATTTTTTTGATATAAAGTTTAATTTTTCATTTTATTTAAAATTTGTATTATTTATTAAATTAATATATAATAATGATTTAGGATAAATTAGTGCAATTCGCATAAGCTGGTCGTACAGTCCCACAATTGAAAATATCAGCGTCGAAAAAGGGTCTATCCGTGGGACAATTATAGAGTAATCCTGCCCAGTTGCCACCCTTCAATATGCAGTAGATATAGCTAGAAAAATCAAAAGGGATTGTTAGTTGGTAATTGATAAATTAAGAGGATTTGGTCATCTACCTTATGCAAGCCGTATCGTTGGGTATGGGATAGCGACCCATCGAGCTGATTCCTTGGCAATAGACGACTTCATTGAAGCTTGGAGTTGTTCCGGTGCCTTCTGTGGTGCTGATGGTCTCCGTTGCAGTCACTGTAGTTATTGTGGAGGTTTCAGTCACTGTGGAATTCGGGGTCGTTTCAGTAGTTATCGTGGACGGTTCAGTCACTGTGGAATTCGGGGACGTTTCAGTCACTGTGGTATTCGGGGATATCGTGGTTGTTTCGGTAGTAGAACTATCGGTATCCACAATCAAATCGCAGATATCATCGTCGGTGGAGTCGCAGCGGGTAATACAGGGTTCTCCGGCTCCAGCCTTTGAAACACTGCATACGTAATCGTTGGAACAGGTGAGTTGACTGGCGGAAACCTCTCCATTATTGCAAATTGCAAAGGTGGTCAGAGAAGTGCAGGCGAAGACGTCGGTTCCGGAGCAGATTCCGCATTTCGAGACGTCACCACAGCCACGTTTGGTATCCGTTCCGTTGGCCAAGCAAATAATACCATAGTCGGTGCAAATGGGACTGTCGTCCGGACAGGTATAGTTGACAGTCTGATCTCTAACACCTAGTAGGTATTAGCCATTAATTGAAGGATCACCAATATATGCCAGTTATACCATCTTACCATCGAAACATATCTGGAATTCCCTTTCACCAATACAGCTATGCGAATCCGTGCACTGACCACATGAGGCATTTACTACGGCTGGGGCTAAAAGTGCCACCAGCACTGCGATCAGCATGAACACTTTCATTGTGAGTTTACGATTAAATCTGAAAGGAGCAACCACACAGCTTTATAAACCCCGGACTGGGGTCATATCTTTATAGTGGTCTCGGGGCCATAACATTTATCTTTCAATGCCATGTAGCGATTATAGAGCTGCTCTTCCTAGTAAGTTAATCTTTGAGTAGCACGGGAGCGCCACAGGGCAAATAGTATCATATATATCTTTAGATCTTTAGCATACCTAATCCTCGGTATAAAACGCAGAAGCTATCTGCTGTTTTAGCCAGTCTGTTTTTTATAAAAGCCCAGTACTTAATGGTGATTTCAGTTAGTCCGTTAGCCAAAGTCAAAAGAGCAAAATGCAACAGTCCCAGATCCTGAGAAATCTGGTAAGCTTATTTTAAATATAGTTATGGAAAATTCATTATAATAATATCATTGTATTTAGTGCCTCTTCGTGGTCGTGAGTTCGATGGCAGTTGTGGTCCTCGGATTGTGCGATAGCTGCCAGACAAACAACGTGGCCTGCCTCAATGAGACGCACTACAGATTCTGCTCCTCCAACGTGGCTCCCAACCAGGTTGCCCAGTGTCCCGATGGCCAGGTCTGCACCAGCCTGGACATCATCTGCATAGACAAGGGTGTGTACGATCCGGCCTGCTCGAATTCCACCGCCGATGGATCCTGTTCCAGCTGCGACGGCACCAACCTGTTCGTCTGCACCAGCCGCACCACCTTCCAGATGTGCGATGGCACCAATCTAACCAGCCAGGTCACCAAGTGCAAGGACAACAAGGTCTGCTCCATTAACTCTGGCAAATACTGCGTGGACCTCTGCGAAGTCGGCGATACCGTTGAATGTGACAGGGAAGCTCCGCTGTAGAATGATTTTCAATAAATACATTTTATTTTCTACTATAAAAATAAATACATATTATTTAAAAATTTAATAATACTTTTTTATTTCTTATATAGCTATCCATTCTATTTAAAAGAGTATTTCTAGCAGTGAAAGCAGTTGGTAGATATACTCTTTATCTCATCTTCAATCTTATCAGCAGCATCAAAATGTTGGATACAATGGCTTGACTTATGCTTCATTTGTCTTAAATAAACAAAGCTAATCTTCCCAAATCACAAAAATATAAGACACATTTTAATTTAAAATGTTGAAAACAATAAATAAAAGCCTCTCTTAAGAGCTATGGTATGGGCCTTGTTAAAACCTTTAAAAAGCTATTAGCAGATTTAAATGTTGAAGAATCCACAAAAACTAATAAGACTTAATCCCTTGCTTAATTAATTCTTTCATGACTTTTTAATAAGCCTTTTTATTTGTCCTTCATAGTCATGCTATTACCTTAACCTGATTTATTATTTGTAAATAAGTTAAAATCCCGAAATAGTTACCAAGAACTCCTGCCATATACAACTTTTTACCACCCCTTAACTAAAAGCTTATCGTTGTTTTGGTCAACTCACGTTACCAGGGACAAAAGCAGCGCAAATCTCGTTGCGAAGGTCAGTTCATTGCCTCTAGAAAGGAAAAACAAATTCTGACATAAGCCAAACAAAAACTACCTTTATAAATTTTAAATATATACCTTAATTGAATTAAGCAATTTAATTGACATTGACCCAATTGCGTTGGGGCTGCGTAATCAAATTAGATATATGAAGCAATGACGTCAAAGTGGTGTAAAATTGTTGTATACTGAAACATTTGTTTATGGTGGTGGAGATACCTCCATCAATTTGTTCAGCACTTTCATGCTGTGATTTTCGGCCTACGGAGAAGTTGCTCCACATTTAATGGTTCGCCCAGAGGTGTGGAAAACAAATTCGCAACAGGAAACAAACAAAGCAAACAGTGGAAAGCAAGAGCACAGAGATGGGACCACCTCCCATTGAAAACAGCCGAAACATTCAAAATGCCCCCGGCAATTCGTTGATTGTGGCGCATCTAATTGTTGTCACGATTGCGTTTTGTTATTGTAATTAATATTCAGCTAAATTCAGCTGGGCTTACTAAAACTAAAAAGCGAAAAGCGTTGAACAAATTGCGGTCATTAAACTTTTTGCCACGCCAAGTGAAATAAATTGTCGCCCCCGCAAGCGCAGCCTTTCATAACAAAGTCACAAATCAACGCGAGCGGATCTGCCAACTACCGAACTCCCAGTGGATTATCAACCATGTTGCAGTTGCAACTAGCTGTGCTCACCAGCCTTTTGGTCCTGGCCACCTGTAAAGTGCACAAGCAAGTGCCGACAAACAGTTGGCGGGATATGCTTTTCGGCAGCAAGTGGCTAACACCTGCTCCGCGTTGGCGAGAATCCAAATGTGGGTCTTAAGGCGTTAACCCAATTGACAGTGCTTGAATTAAATCTTGTGTAATACCCACCAGTTCTGCCCATTTTCGCGCTGGTTCCCATTGGTCCTGGCAGCTGTTCAGCGCCGTCGGGCGAACAGGGAAATTGCATTCCCAGCAAGGATTGTGTGCTGAGAAATGGAATTCCAGCTGGTCCCTGTGGCGGTGGCTATGGCGTCTGCTGCATCTGTGAGTTTCCACCTGGCTGTGGGTACGGGATAATCGTCGTGTTTCCTAATCCTTTCGTTCAGTCCTTCAGACCTGCGGCGGTGTCATACGCGAGAACTCCACTTACTTTGTGAATCCCAATCATCCGGATGTCTACGATGGCACCGGCAGCTGTCAGGTGACGGTGCAGAAGCTCCACCCGGATATATGCCAGCTTCGCCTGGACTTGGATATGTTTTCCATAGCCCCTCCAGAGGCAGCCAATCATCTGTGCAACCAGGATCAGTTGCTTATATCGGGCGGCAGTCCCACACCCACCATTTGTGGCAGTTCAACCGGAGATCACAGTGAGTTCACCAGCAGATATTAGCTCGTTATATAACATAATGAAAAATATGAAATACATAATCATTTAATTTCGACCAAAAATTTAATGAGTGAACCATCGGTTTTAATTACTACTCGTTCTCGTTGTATGTTGAAAACTTTAAAGTTGAAGATAATTAAATTTGAACGCAAACTCAAATCTCAAAAGAAAGAATAACATTTAAATAATGATATAATTGTGGTAAAAAATACTGAAGTGCATGTATAAATACCACAAAAACATATTTTTCCATTAAACATTAAAACAGAAAACAATTTGAAAAATTCAACACATTCAACACTGTATTAGTAAAAATGTTATATATTTAATTTCTTTATAAACCTTTTTTATACAATTTTATCGAAATTATTTTTAATGAGGTTTTTTTCTTCGCTGAGTGGTTACAATGTTTATTTTTCGATGTCTAACTACTTTTTAATTTCAAAATCTTGATTAAATAATATACAAATCTTCATTCACGAGTTATGAGTTGCCAAAAATTAGTATGAAACAGCACCCTCAGACCGAGTGTACAAATACTTAAACTAATAACAACACTTTATGATTAGCACTGTAAACAAAACCGTCCGACTTCTCAATGCCAACCTTGTGTTTTCGCAGTGTACATTGACGCGGGTCTGGGGCAGAGCAACCCGATTGTTTTATCGGTGATCACCAGCGGAAGTTTTCCGCGTCTGTGGCGCATCCGCGTTACCCAAATCCACTGCGGGAGTATCTCACGAGCGGACCAAGGCTGTCTGCAGTACTACACGGCCATTAGTGGACGGGTGCGTAGTTTCAACTACAACACGGTGGGTGGAAGACAGTTGTCCAACCAGGACTACAGCATCTGCATTCGTAACGAACGCAACTTCTGCGGGATTCAGTACAACGCATGTCCCGATCTGGAAAACAACCGATCGAGGGCATTCACCCTGTCTGGAAATTCTAACAATCCGGTGCCCACAATGGTGGGTGGTGGAGGTTCTGTGTTGCCCAATGCCAATGGATGTGTGAGCGATTGGCTTCTGATTGGCTGCATCAGGTCGGCGGATAGGATTCCTCCTCTGCCAGGTTGCGAGGATCGCGTCTGTGGAGGCACTTTCAGCGCGGAGGCTGGGATGCTGGCCAAAACTGTGCAATGTAAGTAGTGACAAATTCGCTTTCGGGGAAAAATTATACTACACTAATTATATTTGTAATATTTTGTGCCAAAACACTTGTCAAAGATAATTTTTCTTTTTTTCTCCTTAATTCTCATATTAATCATTTAAATCAATTATCTATAAAGCGAAGTTCAAAAATTTCATATAATTTAAGTTTCACCTTTGTTATTGTTACACTCACAAAAATAAAAACAATAACTTAGTTCTTTATACCCGTTACTCGTAGAGTAAAAGGGTATATTGTATTCGTGCAAAAGTATGTAACAGCTAGAAGGAAGCGTTTCCGACCCTATAAAGTATATATATTCTTGATCAGGGTCACTAGCCGAGTCGATATAGCCATGTCCGTCTGTCCGTCTGTCTGTCCGTCTGTCCGTCTGTCTGTCCGTATGAACGCTGAGATCTCGGAAACTATAAAAGCTAGAAGATTGGCATTTTGCATGCAGATTCTAGGAGTTCCTACGCAGCGCAAGTTTGTTTCAAAAGGTGCCACGCCCCCTTTAACGCCCACAATCGCTGAGATACGATTTTAAAAATTTAAATATTTCGGAAAAGTAAAAATGCAGTTTTATTGTGTTTATCAATACCTATCGAAATGTTGAAGAAATTTTTCAAATCGGACCATTCGTTAAAAAGTTATGCGTGATCAAAGTTTCTATCTCCATCTCCCTCGCACTCCCGACTATCAGATACCCGTTACTCAGGTAAAGGGAGTGCGAGGGAGATGGAGATAGAAACTTTGATCACGCATAACTTTTTAACGAATGGTCCGATTTGAAAAATTTCTTCTACATTTCGATAGGTATTGATAAACACAATAAAACTGCATTTTTACTTTTCCGAAATATTTAAATGTATCGTATATAAGCGATTGTGGGCGTTAAAGGGGCGTGGCACCTTTTTGAAACAAACTTGCGCTGCGTAGGAACTCCTAGAATCTGCATGCAAAATGCCAATCTTCTAGCTTTTATAGTTTCCGAGATCTCAGCGTTCATACGGACGGACAGACAGACGGACAGACGGACAGACGGACATGGCTATATCGACTCGGCTAGTGATCCTGATCAAGAATATATATACTTTATAGGGTCGGAAACGCTTCCTTCTAGCTGTTACATACTTTTGCACGAATACAATATACCCTTTTACTCTACGAGTAACGGGTATAATGACTTTAGATAATATTTGAATGCTTGAATTCCGCTTTATATTATTTAGTATATATCTTGATTATACGTTTTTTTTATATCCTAACAGCCAGCGTTCGTCCATTCCGGCTTTACTTTCACACGGATGGAGTAGAAGCTCCCAATGACATTGACAATAGAGGTTTTTGCCTTGATTATGTCCAGCAGCCATGCACTAATGGTTTCTAGCCGTCATCCAAAAAGTATGCAATACTCTTTACAAGAAACACAAGACATGACCCGCGCGACTAAAGTCGCTAGGAAATTGTGATTGGCGCTGCAAAAGTCGCAGACAAAACGCGCACATTTTTCGTATGTAATAAATATGTTTTTATTTATTGATTTTTACGTAATTAAGTTAGACATAACTTTAAAATTTAAGTTAATTTAGAAAGCACAAATCGTGTCGTATTTTGGTACAAATTTTAATGACGTGGTTCGGGATATCGAAATTTCTTGCGATCGAAATTCTAACATTAAAATCGTTTTCAACTACTAATACAGGTTTATTGAATTACGTTTAATTAATAATACTTAGCTGAAGCAAAAACAAAAAATTAAATAACAGAAAAACACGATGAAAAACGCTTTTGTTTAAGGACATTTTCGTTGATGTTGTTGGTACTTATTGTTGCTGTGGCAAAATAAAAAAACACAAGTACTGATGATGCGCACGTTGTCGTATAAAAGGGATTTTCTGGGTTCGCTTGCTCGCCTGAGATCGCCAATTTCAGTCTGTGCGCGTAGTGCCCGACTTGTGACGTCACTGGGGATGGGATTATCTCGGATGTGATGCGGGTATCTACGATAATAGTCTCCTAATCCTAATAGGTTTGTATTAAACCAGCCACGTGCTGTTTTTCCTCTTCGGTCAAACCATTCTTCAGCGTGCGCCGCACTGTAAGACATGAATCAAATATATTACAAAACAAATCAAAGAATTATAGTAAGTATTTAGTTAGGCTGTCATTCTATGTTAAATGTTTAGGTCATGCTGATTAGTTGCTTGTATTTTAGAAAATCCGTTAAGCCACATGCAAATGCAAAATATATTTACAAATTTTGACCCATTTTACCCATGCATAAAAACCGGGATCTTCAACAAAATACAAAATTTGAAAAAACAAAGCTGAATACAAGTTTCAGCCAAGGGTTTTAAGCTTTAAAGAAATGGTAAAAGAAGGTGTAGAACTCAACACAAATCAATTCACTAACCAAAAAAGGTAAAACCTAAAAACAGTTGGCTGTTGTTTTGGTAACGGTTACGGATTCGGTTAACAGTAACGGTTTCTACGGCGATGGTGCTCTTTCAACTGTGAATCCTTCGCGCGTGCGGCTGCGCTTCACTTCGATAGTCAATATTTCAGATTTGTTGGGTTTGGTTTTATTTGTTTTTTATTTGGTTTGTTGGATTGGTGCGTTAATGGTAAAAGAACGAAATGGAAAAAAATTAAAACCCAATATAGGCAACAGATTCGTAAGCTGGCAAAAACTAAGGGGAAAAGCTGCGAAATCAGGAAAATATTGTAAATTGGGGAAAAACTGCAGGGTTTTGTGTGAATTTGGAATTTGGTGTATAAAAAATAATTATTTGTAAAATTATATAGTTTCTCTTTGGAATTGCTGGTGGTGTAGTGTGTTTCTGGTTGGAAGTATCCAGCTAGAGGTTATAGACATAGCGCGCTGTGTGCGATTCGAAAATATATAGACCAACACCTTTTGATTAAAACGTATCCTCAGTGTTTTGGATGTGGATTTGGTATGGATTGACTTGTTGGGGCAGTCAACTTACATGATTTGCGATCCGCGTGTCGCGTCCGCTTCCGTTCCCTGGGAGTTGTCCGGGTTCCTGGTGCCTTGGTGGCGGTCTTGACCAGAGATTCCAGTATCTCATCGTCGCCGTCGGTGAACTGCTCCTCACTCTGGCGGGTAATCGGTGAACGGAGCTGCTCCGTCCGCCTTCTTCGCCAGGTGAGCGTTCCATCAGCCTGATCTGCACTAGATGTGTCCAGCAGTTTTCTGCAATAATACATATATTAGTCTTAAGATCACAGAAAATATATTGTCTTAAATTAAATTCAATTTGCTTTAGTGTTTGATCGAAATAGCTTAAGGTTAATAAACTATAAAACCCTTTTCCCTGATAAAGTAATAAGTCGTAAAGAAATTCTTATCTCACAATTATAAATCACTTTCAAAAGGTTGAACATATAATATTTCAAGAAATTCAGGTCACTTCAATAGCGATAAGTATGCGTTAAGGTTTGATTTATCATTTCACATGTATTTAACACATCAAAACTAGCTTGCTTCTTATCATACCATTTTAAAAGAAAATTCAATTCAATTCATATGAATAGATAAAAATGGCTTTTAAAATAGTGCGATAAGAATATATTACTTAATCATGCCTAGAAATCCACACTCACTTCAACTCGTCATCGGCCACGTCATCTTTGGTCTTGAACTTGGCCATGTCGATGATCAGCTTGCCGCGCGTCTTGTTCCGCTCGCGGTGGTTGGCCTTCTTCTCCAGCTGCTGCTGCACCCGCTCGCGGGTGGTGCGGTACTCCAGGGCGAACTCGGAGAGGGTGCGGCTGAACTCGTTCGGACGCGACTCCGCCACACTGTGCTGCGGCATGCCCAGCCAGAGCAGGAACTTCCGGTAGCGGTTCATCACCCGCCGATGGACGATTTGCAGGATTATGATGCGTTCCGCACAATCGGCCAGGAAATCCACCAATTTCTGCTTCAACGGCGGCGGGCAGTCGTGTTTGGCAATCAGTTTCAGGCGATCCCAGCACGCCTTGCACTCCGCCTCCAGTTGGTTCAGATTATGGGCCAAGTCCGTGAAGTCCGCCTTGGAGGCTCGGGTAATCGGTCCAATCTCCGAGTAGAGATCAGTGGTATCGCTGCTCGACTCCATTACCATGTGGCACAGGTGGTGCAGCAGCGAGTGCTTGTGCACGGTGTCCTTCACCTCGGGAACCTTGGCCAGATACTCGATCTGGAATCCCTTCACGGGAGCTCCATTCAGGAAGATGCCCACGGATAGCAGTGTGGATAGGATGCTGCGGAAGGTGCGATTCTGACGCAGGATCTCAATGCCTTGCTTGAGGTCCATCAGGGGTTCCGCAATCTCTTTCTGTGTATAAGAATGGAAATAAATTCAGTTCATTTACTGAGAAGACAATTTTTAGGTATTTTAGATTGGTTAACCAAAGAATAAACTCCAACTATATATTTATCTATAAAAATTCGTCTTGAAATCTTAGCATTTTACCAATAATACCAATAAATCCTAACTCAAACATAAATTTAAAAAGGTTTTTAAAATTTGTATTATAATTAAGGCCTCTTAACAAATTCTGATTTTGTATTAGATATTTTAACTTTTGATATTGAGTTTATTGTTATTCAGCTCAAATGCCATCTTAGTTGCATCTAAAATCCAAAATCAGACAAAATCTCAAAAGAGAAATCAGAATGTTTAAAGAGTTAACAAACTATAAACTATTGCTTCTGGCTTAGATGAATTGTTATAATAATGTCATTGGCTTTGAAATAACTTTGTGATAACCAAATTCAAAAATGAAGTCTGACACTACAAAGCTAGAGCCATAACTTACCTCGCTGTTGTCAAAGTCCAGGCGGAAGGCCCACAGTTTCAGGCGTGCTTCTAGCTCAGAGATGGAGGCGAGGGTCAGGAGGAACTGCTCGGCACTGCCCAGGGGCAGCTCGGGATTGGACAACTGGGCCTCCTGGATCTTGCCGCGCTCCTCGTCGGTGGGCAGCATGTTGAGCAGCTTGTCGATGCCCTCCCGCGTGACCACGGTGGCGTCCATCTTGAGGATGGCCGTTTTGATGGCCCTCGGAGGTGGCAGCTTGGTGATCGCTATGTTGATGGCATTGGAGCGCTTGTGGTCGAGCACGATGATCTCTTTGCTCTTGTTCAGCTCTTGTTGTTTCTGGAAGGTCAGCGGATTGGGGTTAATGCCTTACGATCAGGACACGATCGGTCAGAGATAAAAACACAGTGGTGCAAAGAGAAAACGAGAGTGTAGAGTGGAAAGTGCAAAGTTGGAGAGGAGTTTCTGTGCTGTTCTGATCGTTTCTTCGAGTGTACGTGGGTGTGAGACAGTGTATAAGAAATAGTGATATTAACCAACACCAAAACACATACAATATGAGCAAGATCGTAAGTTATGGTGAGATATATATATAGAGAGAGACAGAAAGACAAACAAAAATTTAATAACATTTTGATTGGCACTCACCTCCTAGAGACATTGGAAAACATTTGAATATTTGAGAATTATTTGCATTTTGGTTTTGAGTTTAGCACAACATTTATGTAGATTTATCCGCAAACAGACCGTTCGACAATTACGTATTAAGAATTATACAAGATATCCATAAATAAAGGGGAAAAAAGAATACAAAAATCATTCGCATTTTGTTAACGCAACATACACTTAAAAGAGAGTTTATGACTAATTTAATCACACTTATCGTAGATTCGTGAAATTTCGAAAACCTTTGACCAATTGAAAGTTATATGGGCTAGACTGTTGCCATCTGGCCAATACCCACCTTGGTCATCAAGTCTTTGGCCCGGGACTCAAAGAGATGTTCGAGCTTCTGGGTATCCACATTGGCATCAGGCAACTCATCCCAAATGGTCTTACCCACCACCTGCGGTATCATGTCCTCACGGACTTCCTTCCAGAAGAGCTTGACCTGTGGATGGTTTCAAAGCAAAAGAATCTTAGTCCCCATTTTAAATTGTATATGTGATATGTTAAGTGTTGTATATTATATAATATATGACTTACCGTCTTTTTGTTCTTTTTGATGGTGTTATTCCCGTTGACGAGCTCCCCATTTATGGATCCATTTAGCGAATTGAAACTGTTTGTGAGACTGCCGCCATATCCATACATGGGTGGAGGCATCAGACTGGGAGGCATCATGGGTGGTGGGGCAATGGCTCCACCCAGTGGCGGAGGTGGTGGGGGTATACCCGCCCCCAGACTACGAGGAGCCAGCACATCCTTCTCATCATCATCCCTGAGATCCGTGAAGTCCAAATCACAGAGATTCAAGGGCCTTGTCCTATTCCTAACCAACTCCTCCCAGTGCAGTTCGTTCTCCGACTTCTTGGGCTCAGACTTTTTCAGTTCCTGATCCACACTAGATGATCTGGAGAATAAAATAGTTTATTTCATCGTGAGAACAGCATTTAATTTTCTTCCTTTCTCCCAAAATCTGTTATCATGGTAACGTCTAAAGGGGTAACATAAATGATTAGCTTGACCTTATCTTAGACAGACCTAGCACTATATATATATACGATAAGAAATCAAAAATCAGGCGACGAGGGGTGGGGCTTACAACTTTCTAGAGATCCGAGAAACCCGATGACGAACAATGATAAGACCATGATTTTTGGGTTGTACTTAGACAGTGCGAAAACCTGAACTCTTACGAAACTCCCACATAAATCTAATCAACGAAATTTGCACAATGGACTCTTCGCATTATCGGCTTGCATTGGTAACCGTTATCGATTTCTATACTCAGATAAGCCTTGTTGGCTATAATTCTTCGATTTCCGGGCGGTATAAAGGTGGTGCACTGAGAGGGACAAGTCACATTTGTCAAGCATAACTCAAGCAACATGGCCGATGTAAGTTGATGATCGTCAGGATCTGGATATAGGAATCGCTAATTCTGATTTTGCCCCTGCAGTTCAACGCTATTTTGGAGAAGACCAAGGCCTTCAGCCAGAAGCCCCCGACGGAGGTGTACCTGGAGTTCTACGGTCTGTACAAGCAGATCCATGAGGGCGATATCGCCATTGAGAAGCCCGCCGATGCCGAGGGTGCTGCCAAGTACGATGCCTGGCTGAGCCGCAAGGGAGTGTCCGTCGATGACGCCAAGGCCGCCTACATCGCCCTGTACGAGAAGTACAACCCCATCTACGGATAAGCTATTGATTACGACCCTGTTCCACACGGCAAATAAATCTTGACCACCTGTGAATTAAGTGATTTTCTGTTTAGGGGAAAGTTACCGATAGCTTTAACCATAACTGTTGTTGGCTCTGAGATTAACGTCATAAGGCCCTGGCACACTTGCTATCGGTTGACCAGCTAACATGACAGTGCTAATCGCTGCTGGCTTAGCTCAAGTTCTTATCTTCAACTGATGGCGCCATATATTCTCATAAATCTTGGCCATAAACCATGTAAAGACTGAAGGAAACCCTATCGTTTACTTCTAATCTAGTCGAGGTAGCCCCCTTGCTAGTAGAAAGCTTTGAAAATACATGTAGGTTAAGTACAATCAATGGTGTTTCATCTTATTGGTTCTTATTAGACCGCCAAGCTCAAACAATATATTGATATGCACAAATAACATAACATATAAACGATATGACAGAACTTAGCATCACGGTCAAAGTCGTAAATATTTGTTCTTCAACAAAAACAAATGACAGCCACAAATTAGAAATTGGAATGGTCGATTTCCTATTATTTTAAACATTATTTGCTACCCAAAGATCAAATTTCAAGCCTTCAAATGCATATTGATTTGTAGTTTGGTTAGCTAAGTTTGCTCCGAAAGTAACAATTTTTAAAACTTCGTGACAAAACATAGACAATGCATAACCAGTAATATGATAAATCGTAAAATAGTATTGTTAGATTGCTCATGTGCTCACAAATACAATTTCTTTAGAAGATTGAGAATTCTCATAGAAAACACATGTGCTAAACTTAATTCGATCTATGATTGCAGGACTCTTGCTATAATCGATTGTCTCAATTCCGTGTTTAAATATTCTACATACCTGGATATCTCCCCCTTGCTCTTGCTCTTGGCCAGACCCTCTTTGGCTTTCGAAATGAGGCCGGACATGTCGCCGACGAGGGCGCGATTCGCAGAGTCCTGGGTGGGACTCATGGGCAGGTTGCTCAGCTTCTGGGTGAGGTCCTTGACGGTGTGGTCCCGCTTCAGCTGCAGCAGCAGTTGCTTGTCCTCGCTCTCCATATCTGAGATATAGAACAAACCCAAAGTTAACACAATTCATTATTTCAGTTAGCCCTCGAAAGTATGCAGCGGCAGATGCGCAATGCAATGTGGATGTTTGGTGGCGGCGCTTGCGAGTATGCAACACACAGGTGAGAGACGAGGGTGGGTGAGAAGGGGCTAGGACCCACCTGAAGGATCCGCGGGGCACGGCAGCTGCTCTGGGTTAGTACTGGTTAGGGTTCGAGCTGGCGGGCTGCTGTAGATGGGGGCGTGCCACCACCCAGGAGGCGGTGGCGGCGGCGGTGGCGGTGGAGGAGGCGGTGGTGGTGGCGCGGCAACGGGTTTCCTAACCGGACTCAGTGGCTCCGGTTCCGGCAGGACATCACACTTAACCGGGGTGGAACTCAGCGGAGCGGGCGTGAAGTCAAACCCAGAGGCATTCAGCGTTTTCTTCGGACTCAAAAGCACTTCCGGCGCTGGCTGAATGGGCTGATGGATCTGATGCTTCGGCGACTGACTGTAGTAGTTGTTCAGCCGATTCGCCTCGTTCTCGTACTTCTTGTAGGCACTATCGGTTTGCTGGATATTCTTGATAATACCATTGATCACAGTTGAATTGCGCTCCCGAAATAGATTCTTTTTGGTCAGGAACTCGCTCTGGTTGTTATTGCTCGCCTTGTCGAAGCTGTTGTTGATGATCGAGATGCTGTGGCTGCCGGTGAGCAATTGCTTGCTGGGACTCATCAGCAACAGGCTGTTGTTCGGCGTGTCATTGCAACTGAGGTTGCTCACATTGTTGTTACTCAGGCTGCCAATACCACTGATGTTGTTGCACGGCGACGACACCTCATGTTGCAAAGACTCCGGCGGACTTTCCCCGACTTGGATGGTGGCGGGTATGGCGGTTACAATTTGGCCTTTTTATTTGGCATGGATGGTGTTTTTTGTTTTTGGTTGTGGTTAGCATGATCAGCGGGTGAACAGCGGGACAATAATACACACAATGATTAGCGTTTTGGTGGGAGAGAGAATCACAAGTTAGTTAGTCGCTCAAGTCAAAAGCAGCTTGTGTAATCTAGTATTTTTGTATTATGAGAAACTTACCCAGACCCTCGCGCTGTTCAAGAGCTGCAAATATCCCATTGGCCGCCGCCTCCTGTTGCTCCTTGAGGAAACTCTTGTGCCGCTCCGCCCGTTCTCGTCTTCTGCGAAGTCCTGGAGTCACGCCTGCTCCATCGCGAGCTGAGGGGAATAAGGGAAATATTATTATAATTATAAATATTTTTTTATACCCTTGCAGAGGGTATTATAATTTTGGTCAAAAGTGTGCAACGCAGTGAAGGAGACATCTCCGACCCTATAAAGTATATATATTCTTGATCAGGATCACCTCCTGAGTTGATATAGCCATGTCCGTCTGTCCGTCTGTCCGTCTGTCCGTCTGTCCGTCTGTCCGTCTGTCTGTCCGTCTGTCTGTTTCTACGCGAACTAGTCTCTCAGTTTTAAAGATATCGAATTGAAACTTTGCACACACCCTTCTTTCCTTTGCACGCAGTATATAAGTCGGAACGGCCGGGATCGGCCGACTATATCCTATAGCTGCCATATAACTGAACGATCGGAAATGCCATAACTTTGGTGTTTGTAAAGTTAGGAAGTTGTAATTTTCTATGGGTTTTGTATTTGGCTAATCAATCCGACATGCCGAATTTCATAAGGATCGGCCGACTATATCCTATAGCTTCCATATAACTGATTGATCGGAAATGCCATAACTTTGGTGTTTGTAAAGTTAGAATGTTGGGATTTTCTATGGGTTTTATATTTGGCTAATCAATCCGACATGCCGAATTTCATAAGGATCGGCCGACTATATCCTATAGCTGCCATATAACTGATTGATCGGAAATGCCATAACTTTGGTGATTGTAAAGTTAGGAAGTCGGCATTTTCTATGGGTGTTATATTTGGCCAGCCAATCCGACCTACCAAATTTCATAAGGATCGGCCGATTATATCCTATAGCTGACATATAACTGAACGATTGGAAATGTCATAACTTTGGTGTTTTTAAAGTTAGGAAGTTGGGATTTTTTATGAGTATTAAGAATGCATCATATGAATAATTTTGGAGAATATAATTTACAGAGTATTCTGCAAGGGTATATCAACTTCGGTTCCGCCCGAAGTTAGCTTTCCTTTCTTGTTTAGAACTACAAGAGGGTGAGATCTGCCTCCTTCAACGCAGCCAGTAAGACTGTTTTTATATTATTATATTTTTACATCCATTACTCGTTTAGTAATATCATTTATGTGGTTAGTCTATAATCGTAACACTTACGTTTCTTTTCATTGAACAGTCCCCCGCTGAACTCCGTGGAGTTGGTGGACCCGGAACTGTCCTCATCCACGGTGGCCTGGGTGGGCGTCATCCGAAGGACTGTGGTGGGCAGGACCTTGGTCAAGGGGGCGGGGCTGTTGTCAGTGCTGTGACGTCGCGACTTGCGTCTTTCGGTAGTGTTTGTCCCCGGCCGATAACGCTGCGTTTTACGCATGGAATTCTGCGGTAAGCGCTGTCCATCCGACTCACCATCCTCAAATCTATAATTATGGTTTATAAAATAATGAATTTATTTCGTAAATAAGCAATGAACTCACTTAAGCACAGCCTCGTAAAGTTGCAGCTGATCGAGCAGATCCAAATCAGTGCCCGGCTTGGACATATATCGCTGGATCACGGTTTCCATGCCCTGCTGCTCCAGAAGATCACTTTCGTCATAGAAACTGTCCTGATCGTTCAGGCCCGCCAGTGTTTTGTTGATCAGCGAAGTGGCATAGATGACCAGCTCGGCATCGGCATTGTCATAGTCCTTAAGCAGTCTGTGGGAAGTATGCATTTAAATTAGTCCATCTCTAATAATCTTCTTTAACTATTGCTGACTTACCTCATTATATTCGACCAGGGCAGAGTTCCCTGTGAGGCATCCACCGCATGGATAGCACTGACCAGCACATAGCAGTTGGACTCGGCGTACTCCACGAAGACCAGCAACAACTTGAGGGCGGTCTTCACCACGGATCGGTAATTGGAGGCAATCAGCGAGTAGAGCCACTGCATCGTCGGCTCATGCTTCATCACGCCGTTCATTCCGTCCACATAGAGCATGACCTACCGCCGCATCCAATGACATAATTAGTTATGGTTCCCATGGGTTTGGGTGCCCATTGCCATCCACGACTCACCTGACCGAGGGCCCGCAGAATGTAATTCTGATAGTTTTGATCCGCACAATTGCCCACGCGCACCAGGCAATTGAGGCCGCCGAGGGCCACGAAGGCGTGCACCAGATCCTTATCCTCCTGGAACACCTGCTTCAGCGAGAAGAGAGCGCGCCGCAGGTCACTGCCCTCCGCGGACAGCAGTTTCTCTGCAAAGGTTCAAAGTCAGTTGGTTACACGGGGCGTATGCGCAATAAGCTTTCGATTCTCTTACCAATTATAGCGTGCACGCGCACATTCAACTGCGTTCGCACCACCAGGGAATTCTTCCGGCTGTGGGTCAGAAATGGAAATTAATTTTCAATATTATTTCTCTTACAGCTTATAGCAATCTTAGCCAGATTTGTTCCCATTCCCATATAGAGTAAAAAAAAACTTTGTTCACTTTCATCAGACCTTTACTCTACAGTTTTACTTTTACTAAAAAGGCCCTTATTGAATATAACATCAATAAACGTATAAACGTGTAATACTTTCATTTTAAACAATAATTTTTTTATGATCGGTAATAAAAAGTTTGGTTATTGTGAAACATATTAGCCAAATGTATGAACAATTGAATAGCTTAAATAATAAAGTTTTTAATATGCTTTGAGACCTTTAATATAATATATTTTAAGTTGTATTGAAATTATTATCTCAATTTGTTTATTGCCAATATTCTTGAAATGAATAATCTTTGTTTATTTTTCACTAATAATGGAAGGGAAACCTTTTAAAATCAGCAGTAAGATATTATTCTTCATTCCCTTCATATTTTTATGAAACTCCAGTTAATAAACCTCACACTATGAACCACTTTTCCCCATGTGGAGTGCCAAAACAGAGAGATTAAGGCACAATGGGGAGCTGGACGGCACCTCCACCCCCGACTCCTGCCCAAGTCCAAGCCCGGTTCATTGACCAGTTAAGAACATTGATTACCCGCTGGTGCTCGCTTCGCTTCACCCCGGTCCCAGCTGGTCATAATAAAAGTAATAACAAACGACGCAGATAATTGAAAATGGACTATGGGTCGGCGGGCAGTCCGACACCGGTCTCACAAACTATATCTACATAGACATATAGACAAAGGTTCCGAGTGTCTGAGCCGCGAATGTCCAAGACACACCTGTGCGGGTAACGTGTCTCCCTTTCTGCAGATTGACGGGCACCTTCTGTGGAATTTTGATGCGAATTGAAGCGCATGATTTGCATGCGAGCTCGCGCTGCCATGACTAATGCGATAAGCATGATTAGTGGCCATCGGACTGAGCCAAGCTAACCCATTCTGGCCATGGCCAGGAGAAGAGCACTCCACTGCCATTGGCGCCACACCACTCGTAAATAGAGTGGGGACGAGTTGCCTCGCAAAGTGGCGGCAATTTGCGCAGACGCGGCGACATTTACGTTATAATTTCAAAGACTGCAGATACGGCTTAGATGCGCCTGCTGCTCCGCCCCATAATGACTGATGATCATGGATGCGGCGCAGAAGTGAAAGTCAGAAATAGACCAGGAACCCATCCATCCATCCATTCCACCAGCCCAGGGTTAAGCAACTCCAGAACATTGACTTTGACCCCGGTACGGTTATGAACCACACTATGTTTCAACATGGCCAACAACTTCTTCTTCGGCGGCTGCTGCTCTTACTTTGACACTTATGCCCCGTCGCGTACATCATTTTTCTTTGTGCCCCAAGTTTTGTGGAGCTGCTTTAGCGCCTGCCTATGCCATGACATCACGTTCTCTTGACTGGCCGAGAAAAATAAAGAAGGAAAACTAAGAAGTGAAAAAACAAGAGCTAGAAGAGACTAAGAAATACCTCTATTAAAACAATTATTCATCACAAATAATTGTTTTCCTTCATTTAAGACACTTTTTTAACACAAGTTTTAGAGCCTCTACATTTCTGCTACTCACTTCAATCACAAACGAAATAAAAATTTCTTTACAAAAATAAACGAAGAATGTCGTAATTATTAGGCTATTTAAAATTCTTTACCACTTTATTTAAATTTTTCTTCAATAATATTAAGTAAATAAAAAAAAGTGATTATCACATTATACTACCCTAAGAACATTCCAAGACTTTAAGTACATCTTTTTTTAGACCCTAAAAAACTCCTCCGTTTAAGGGGTACTTAAATGTACTTATGCATAAAGTACATGCATGCCAGTTATGAGAAAAGACCACAAAAAATGTAAATATAACAACTGCAGAGCTACGACAACGACTCAAAAGTGACGTGGCGAGCGTTTTTATTTTGTCTCTGTGCTTCTTTTTCTGCGGCTGTGCGCGGATTAAATGCAAATTAACTGCAGACTGCAGCGGCAACAAGTTGCACGTAGCAATGTCGTGGCATGCAAATGTCTCTGCGATGCGGTGAGTGCCGGGCAGAGCGACAGTGCGACAGAGTGGCAGAGTGGCAGGCAGCTAAGCAGGTAACCAGCCAACCAGGTAGGCAGATAGCCAACTCCGTTTCCTGTGCCACAGATAGCGACAGTTTTTTATGGCCCGGCCAAATAACTTTATTAGCGAGCGGAGATGGCGATCGCGATGCAGGCGGACCGCCATGGCGTATGTGTAATATGTTGCATTTCGGTGAAAGGCCGACACAACCACCCACGATCAGCTGCCCCAATAACCCAGAGGGGTTCGACTGGTTCGGAGTTTCCTGATCGGTGCTGCCAACTATAGATTACAAGGAGTGGCTTAATCAAGCCTCAAAAATTGTTTAAGCCTAATCCAAGATCTTTAAATTTGAAAGATATAATCAAATCGGTGGCGACTGTTTGCTTTACATCAATAAAATAATTATACTTAATTAATATGAACCTAACATGTCCACTTAGTTGTGGCTTTCTTGGCAACAAAGTTACTTTGATAATATGAAATTATTTCCTCACATTTTATAATTACACCAAAATATGTATCAAGCTTAGATATTTTCTAAAATTTTTGGGCTAGCCTTCAACTCCTTTAACTCTTCAAAAATATTTGAAAACAGAAGTTAAACAATCGAACATCCTGGCTAGAAACTAGCCAACTTGACAACCACGTTCCCGAAAATAGGAAAATGGGTTCAAGGTAAGCAGCAGCAGCAGACATCGTTGCAAAAGTGAAATCCCCTGACAAATGTTTGCGAGTGGGTGAAGTGCACCAGGTGTGTCCCATGTGGGCTGACAATTCTTTTCCGTCCAACCGTCCAAGCTCATTAGCCGGCGTTTTGGGTCAGGTGTTGGTGTTGGCGGTGCTCTCCCCCCAAATCGTTATCTGCGCCACACTCACCTGACGTTGAGTCCCTCGATTTCCTCGGTCTGCTCGGCCAGCGATGACTCCAGGTCCAGATAGGCTCCGTAGTCGCCATCCTTGTACACCTGAATGGCCGCATCATCGATCTGAAACGGAGAGGAGGAGGAGATGCTTAGTTTCGCTGGCAATTATAATTAAAGTCTGGCTAAAAGTAAATGGCAACGCCGATCTCGCCACTACCGCACTACGCAGTAAAAGTTGTTTACGGTCTCGGCTCATGAAAAAGAGAAAGAAGCTGATGGAGATGGCGATGGAGTTTGAGTTTGAGATTGAGCTGGAGTTGCAGTTGGAGAGGTTGATGTGCTGCTGCAGCGTAGAACGTTTTGAGGCACTCAGAGAAATTGTTGATAATTTTTAATAATTTTTGAATCGGTGAAATCTGAGACATTTTATGCCAAATAAATTTCTTAAAAAGCCTATTTAAAAACTTCCCCAGAAAATTGATGTTAATTAAACAGGTAATTAATAATTGAGCTTGTGGCTTTTTTCTTTTCTCGTCTTATTTTATTTAAGCATTTAAAGTATTATTGACCTTCTTTACCCATAAATAAGTTTAATATATTTAATCTTATTTGATTCTCAAGAAATTCTAGCATATGTTCATACACTTGTATCACAGATAGATGCACAAATAGAAGAGTATATATAAACTAAAATTGTAGATAAAAAAGTTCAATTTACGATGCATTTTCACAATATTAAAAGTGATATTCATAATTTTCCTGTGTACAGTGACGGACGCTGCATTGAAAGTCCGCAGACGATTTCGTTTAGGCCAGCATTGAGGCCGTCAGTTGATTGCTGGCCAAGACCAAGATGACGCGTCGTCGCCGGCTGGTCACCTACTTTTCTCTGCTTTCGGTTTTCAGACTTCAGTTTTCAGTTTTCCGTTTTCCAGCCGCTGATTGATCAAGCTCCTGCTGCGTTGCTGTGTGTGCACAAATGCGCTGATTGACGGCGGTCGCAGCCGATGTTTTATTGGCGCATTGAAAGTAATTATTTCTGCATTTACAGAACAATTACCGGACAACATGGAATTATTTGTGTCGACGACGCTTGCTTAATGTGTGAAAAAAGGTAAACAAAGCGACGAAAAAAAAGGAGAAATACTGTCTGTCATCCGGGTGGAAGATTACACATACGCCCCTTTGGCAACGCCCCGGTATTAGCAGTAAAAGCGAGCTTGGGCTGGGCTAATGCTTTTTGTCTGGCTTCTGGGTAAGACACACCCTCAACAGTACCCTTTTCATGTCCTGAGGGGTTTCTTCAAACAAAGAACATTGGCTAAATTTAAGTATTGACCATGTATTGGTCAATGAGTTTTCTAGGAATTGTTAAATAACTTTTCTATGAGCACTTTATCAACATCAAGTTCCCAGTGATTAATCTATTACTGCATTTTACTTAACAAACATGAGCAATGACGACAAACCCAATTCAAGATTTCTTAGGTAAATGAATCGCCGACACTCCACTAAATAAAAAATATTTTTTAAAGTGCCACGCTGTCTAGCGAGTCACGTTTTCTTATCAAAAAGAGAGCTCTCGACTTTCCGAGCAAATTTTGCCTTGGGTCAAACTTCCGCATGTTGATTCAGCATTAAGGCATGGAAAACTTTCTAGACCAAGTTGGTCTGTCATTGTTTAGCCAAACTGGAAATTCACATTCAAATTATGTGTCAAATGCGTGCTTAGTCGGTATTTATAAACGCCTCTTTATATAAGCCAAAGGGCAATTAAAATCAAAGCAAACATTGGCCAAAAACTAAATCCATTCCGGCTCGCTTTTATGATTTATTTATATTTCACCTCCTCTTCTACACTCAAATTCATTCATTCATTCACAGGTCTATGCAAATTTTGTATCGGTGGCTTTTTTGATTTTTTTCTTTGAGTGAAGCATGACAAGATTTTTAATCAAAATGATTTTTGCCAAACACATAAATATGGCTATTGACACAGTTAAGGCGGCGAGCATAAAATTCGACGAGGAGAAAATGTAAAAAAGCAAAACCACATCGAGCTAAAAGTCCAATATGGTTAGGGAAAGAGATAAATATTTTCAAACTATTGACAGCCAGTTAAATGTCGTTGAAATAAATTATTGATGGAAACGACAAATTCCAAATTAATTTTCATTAATTTATCAAATTTTTTACAACCAAAAGGGGAGTCCAATCAAAGAGGAATTTTAATTGAAATTTGTGAGTTAAATAAATAAATAAAACGTAGGTATATATAATAATGATGGTAATTTATTATTAGTAATTACTGCATGACATATTGTTCGTATCTATTTCTTTCAGCGTTAATAAAAATAACTATAAAAACACTTGATTATGGTGTCATTTAGTTGATAGGATCAGGGGTCGCTAACAATCTAAAAATAAAATACAAATCTAATAAAAAATATTATAACAAAGACCCATAAATGCCTGACCTTGTTTAAGTGTGCTGATTTGGGTGAGTAACACTTTTGCTTTCACATCAATCAAAGTTGATTGACCCTCATCTGACCGCAAAGTCTGATGGACGGCTATGCTAATTGAACTTTAAAACTACAAAGAAGAGAGGACGACTTGTGCGAATAATTTTTGCAAATACCCCGAGATGCGTAAGTGTCAACGTGGCTCAAATATTTGGCCAACGTGAGCAAATCGTAAAATGGATAATGGAAAATTCCCTGGCTTATTCAAGCGGATAAGCTGACCTAAACTAATTTGATTGGCTTTGAATTTAAATATTGTCCGGTCGTGTGAATGACACATGTAAGTGACGCAATGCCCCCAATTCAACGATTACTTCAATTAATTAAATTAGTTTTTGTTACAATTATTTATTCAGCCGCAAGAGCGTTTGAATTTGATTGCTGTGGCTTTTCGCTTCAGTATTTTTTTAATTCTTTTATCTGCCTTTGTTTGGTTTCCATTGATTGGAAGTACTCCCTGTATGCTTATCTAATTCTACAAGTATATTGTGATTTTTGTTTTTGCTGAGGTGCCTAATGCAAAGGCAACAGCTACAAAAATAATTGGCAATAAGAATAACATTCAAAATCAAAACAAACTTAAGTCAACTTTAGTTATGGGTGGTCGAATAGTTTATTCCCTATGTGCAAAGCTTTAAATTTTATAAATATTTTAAAACATTTATGTATACAGAATTATTCTAATGATAATGATTAATTTTCAAAACAAAAGGAGAACAAATAATAATTAACTAAATTTCTTGTGATAATTAAAAGTATTAATAACAGGTGAGGACCTACATGACTTTATTTTTGTATAACTGATATACCCCTTACAGCTATAGAAACTTATTGAGCCCCGAATCAATTTATTGGCCGGCAACGAGTATGATTATTTATATTTTTAACTTTGCCCGTTTTCAATCTGTTTGGCTCGCTGAACTGATGTCTGATGTCATCGAAAACGCCGACAACGACATTGAAGATTAGTGATCGGCGTGGCGAAAATTTATGAATCTATTGTAATGCGCTAAATTTAACAAGTTGCATGGGAGCATCGAGCAAAGTTCTGTTCGCTGACTAATTGGACAAATGGCATTTACAGCTGCCACTGGTCTGCGGGTCTGGGTCCTCCGGCTTTCCACATCTGCAACTGCCTGCCACATAAATCTGGCCGCGGCGACAACATCCTGGACTGGGGAGGCCAGCAGAACTTCCTTTTGCGATTTGCTCATTAGAATTTATTGCCGCCGCTTGTCAAGATTTACGTATCCTTGCGGCTCCGCCGGCTCCCTAATCCCAACTCCCAACTCCCGACTCTCGACTGGATGACAGATGACAGGCAGGGAATGGGGCTGTTCGATGTGCTCCTTAGTGGCTTTTTTTGCAAATTAGTCAAAGTCAGGCCCAAACAATGGCAGGCTTAGATAATTGCTGGCTAACTCGCTTTCTGGCTTTCTGGCTTTCACAATGCGCTCCAAGAACTTGCCCCAACTGCAGTTCTTCTCTCCAACTTCCTATTAGTTGCCACAGATTGTGCGATAGCAATAAGTTAGCCCAGCCCCGGGCCAGCTCTTCCCCCAGTGGATCGAGCGGAGCCAGAGAATGGCCAAGCCCTCGTCAGATCCAGGGCCTCCGGTTCCGAGCTGCATCTGCCATTGTCTTTCGGCTGTGATCTCCTCCTAGAGGAGAGGGTTCATTGGCCTGCCATGCATCATTTGTTCAAATCGCTTGCCACACAATAAAATATTATAATAGTGCCAGCCAAGAACATGCTAAACACTTATGCTTAGTTTCCTGCAAAAGTTTTCCCTTTATTATTGACCAATTACCATTTTTGCAGTTTTCCCAAAAACTTTCCATCTATTTGTTTTAGTTGTGGCTTTTCCAATTCAACGCTCACTCATCTGGCCGCAAATAAAACTTATTCCGTTTCAATTGACTTGGCAAAGGCAAAGTACTCCTGCCCTTCGACCAATATTGGTTTTTTAGTTTTGTGGCTAAAGTTTAATCTTTGGCTTTTATGCAAAATTTTCTCAAATAAATCAATTGTGGATTCTGTTTACTTTTTCGTGTTTTTTGCCTGCGGCAATAATGCGATGAACGAGTTATTATTGGTTTCATTCGTTTGTTTTATGGGAAATGTGGAAGCGATATAGAACGATAAATGTGTATAAACACGCTATGCAAATTATTGTGTAGACCCGCAAAAACCTCACTGAAAATATGCGAAATTTAAATTTGGCTTTGTGCTTCCATTAAGTTTATTGGGATATAGTGAAATTAGTAAGTAGAGCGCTCTTATATAACAGTGAATTGTATAAACATATATATTTTTTGTTTAATTAATCTAAAACTAAAGCTTAAAAAAAAAAGTTTATAAAAATTTTTTACTCATTGCGGAGTTCAGGTTTAAATACTTTTCTTAGTAACTGTTAACAGTTTAAATTAATCAGCAGTTGTATCAGTAGTTTGACGATTGCAAAAAAGGTTGTCGTCATCGCATAAAAATAAAGTTTTTAATTTTGCAAAACCTTCAAAAACTTTAGAGAATAAAAAGAATACCTAAATACAAATCTTGATCACGATAATGCTGTATCCACCGCTTAATATACAAAA